TTGAACTGTTAGAGAGTGTCCAAAGGAGGGCAACAAAGATGGTGAAGGGCCTTGAGGGGAAGCCATGCAAGGAGCAGCTGAGGTCACTTGGTCAGTGCAGCCTGGGCAAGAGGTGACTGAGGGGAGACCTCAGTGCAGTTACAACTTTCTGTGAGGGGAAGTGGAGAAGCAGACACTGATCTCTTCTTTCTGGTGACCAATCATGAAGCATTAGGGAAGGTTTAGGTTAGATATCAGGAAAAGGCTCTTCTCCCAGAGGGTGGCCAGGCAGTGGAACAGGCTCTCCAGAAAAGTGGTCACAGCACCAAGCCTGACAGAGTTCAAGAAGTGTTTAAACAATACTCTCAGACTCATGGAGTGATTCCTGGCACTGTCCTGTGCTGGGCCAGGAGTTGGACTTGATAATCCGTGTGCGTCCCTTCCAACTCAGCAGATTCTATGTACACATGAGTTAGAAGAAGGCAGTAAACAGTTGTGTTTTTTGTGAATCAGAAAAGGTAGTAGTTTAGCAGACAAATTATTTAAATCCTATGTATTTTCCTCTCTTCTATCTTTTTAGGTGGGATTGAAATGCATAGAAAAGGGGTGACTGACATTTCTACCTTCCTGGTCATGTTTCTTTCCTCAGTCATCCTGGGGTTTCTACTAATTCTGACTAGAAAGAAGTAGACCCCAGGAGATGATCCCTTTTGGATTGCTTGTAGATGAATGCAGCACAGAGTACCTGCCTCTGAAGCCCTGTGGGTTACACCTGCTTTAGGAACAACAGATTCCATACTGGGATTGGTTGGCACCATGTTATCTTCTAAAAGATGGCTAGTATTACGTAAGTAGGTGCTGAAGGGAAACTTCCACCTGTTCTCCTAGCTACAGTCAGTGTTGACTGTGAGAGAATGGAAGCTTTATGTGACTCATCATCTGTATTTGATTCCATATTACTTAAGATGCAGGTCTTATAAAGCTTGTATGCATATTTTAATTAAAAGTTCATTTCTAATCTTTTTTGCTTACTCATGAGTCATCAAATCTTTACCATTTCACGGATTCTGAGTTAATAAAATGGCTCTTTTCATTGAAATGAGTCCTTAAAAAGACTATAGGTTTCCTGTTGTTAACCAAAATGTGTTGGGCTATGGAAATCACTTAAAATTACTGAAATGAACAACAAAAAAAAAATCTCATTTTGACATCTCTGTATTACATATTCTGCAAAAGGAAACTTATATGCACAATGAACATTTCCTACTACTAAAAAATAAATACTTCAGAAGCAGTGAAATATGGCCCAGGCATTGGATCTGTCTTAGGAATTCATAGAAAAGAACTTGATTAGTAATGAAAAATTATTTTTAAATTAAAAAAATTAAGCCTAAGTGAAATCATTGGTTGCTGTACCAATATGATTTTGATAGTGCATGAAACATTTTATGAATTAATTAGGAGAAGGAAGGAAGAAGTACAAAAGAAGGATAACATCAATAATCTTTCTTCATTTTGGAAAATCCAGAAAAGATAAATGGGACTGCTGAAAAAAGCCTGGCTCCAGCTTCTTGTTAGCCAGTGCTTCATTGCTGTTACAAGACTGCTAGTAAGTTCCCTTATGATGGTAATAATAATAATAATAATGATAATAATAATAAAAATAACAACAATTCAACAATTATTAACTCCAGCACCAAGATGCAGTCGCCTCATTGTTCCCCAGATGAGAACAGCTCATCATGTCTCCATCCATTAACAGGAAGTTGGGGAAAGCCACAACAGGAAAGGAGACCCTTGCTGTGCTGGGTTGCAACTTCTATAACTTTCCTCACAGCTACATGAAAAGGAAATGCTACCTTTATCTTCACTGACAGGTAGTTCTTCATAATAGTAGCAGATGCAGAGGATTTCCAAGACCAAAGTGAGTCTGAGGAACTTAAAGCTGGTCCTGCTGTGAGCAGGAGGTTGGATTAGAGACCTTTGGTGGTTGTCTCCCACCTGAATTACCCTGTGATTCCATGAGGTTCACTCTCCTCAATCAAAAATAGGGGGTTTGTGTATAGTGTATTGAAGTTGTCTATTTTTAAAATTGTATTTAACAATCACATTTGAATTATGAAACATCAAAAATTCCATTAGAACACTGTCTCAGTGGCTTCTCCAATTCCATCGCCTACTTTTTTCCTGTGGCTTCACAGTTGGATTTGATAATTTTATAAAATGCAGTAATACTTCCTGTTTTCTGAATAATTGTTTTCTTTTAATCTGTGTTGGAATTGGCTCAACTGTGCTTTCTTTATTGGTCATTATGTAATAACACATATGAGAAAGTCTGTGTGAGAGAGTCTTTTATAATTTTATCCTCATTCAAATAATTTTTTCATTTTCTTTCAAGTTATCATCATTAGAAATGAAAAGTGAAACCACAAATGTTCTGTAGACACATACAATTTCATTTCTCTTGTGGGCAGTTGGTGAGCAGTCAGCTTTATTCCATGAAGAATGCTTGGTCTGTTTCTTAGATTTGAGAGATGTCTTTTTGGCATTATGGTTGTAATATTTTTAATATACTAATGCTTACAAACTGAGTTTTTGGGTGATCTATTTCACCATTCATGTTATTCTTCTGCTTCAGATAAAAAGTTCTTGATTATCAGTTTCTTCAGGTTAATTTAAATACACTTTTTTTTCTGATTGAGTCTGCCTATTTCTCAAAGGAATTTAACGTAGTCTGTGCCATTGGTGTCATCAACAATAGGACTAAGGAGGAGGATTTAATTTGCTTACCTATAACAGAAGTCAGAAATAGCTGTAGCAGTTCAATTACTTGTGGAAGAATTGTTTGTTTATGTCACCAGTATTCCTGTGGTGCATTTTTGAATGATAGATCATTTAAGCTGGCTTGCACATCTGAATAACTAGCATTTTACCAATATTTGGTTACCTTATTCTATATACTTGTTAGTGTAAGAGGCAGTTTAACTGAAAAATGAATCCTAATAAAACGCCTTTTTAGTAATTCGTTTTGAAAACCATTTGACCTTAACTACAATGAAAGTAGACTGTAAAAATCATCATAGATTCCCTTCCTTGAACTTTTCATAATGCTGAAAAATGACTGAGGGAAAGAAGAAAGATCCAGTTACTGTACCCTGTTTGCACAGCTGTACTTCATTGAGTGGAGGCTTGTGTTACACACAGTTTGTGATAGGAAGTAAATGCTTTTAAAACAACTAAAGAGACAGGTCTTTAACCTCCACCTTTTCAGATGCTTTTTTCACTCATTTAGCTTCTGTCGAGGTCTTGAGAAACATTTCAAACACAAATTATTATTGAATACTGAAGCTCACCTGAGTAATTCATTTCCTAGTGTGTTTGTTAGGCAGAGATGCATTGAGATGAGTTTGTTTGGTTGAGTTTTCTTGGGGTTTTTTTGAGAGACATTAGTAATTATTGATATAGTGAACACTTGTTCCTTCGGGAACAAATGCATTTTAAGAAGAAAGAATTCTTAGACTGTTAAATTTTTTTGATAGTTGAAATTACACATTTACTTCAGAAATTTTAAGTATTTTTAAGGTCCTAGAGGTAATTAAAAATTATTTTGTGATGTTAATTACCAAATTGTCAAAATTAATTAGATTTAAAAGTCCCAGTTGCTAGCATACAGGACTGTTACCTCCTGTTACAAGACTATCTAGTACCCTAAATGGTAAAGGTACCTTCAGATTCATTAAGAGGATTTTTTTTTGCCTTACTTTATGTTGGAGGTACATGTTAATCCCCAGACCTAAACTGTTTGATGTATACTTGGGTGCAAAAAATTGCAGGACTTCAGAAAGCCATTATAAAATAATTTTCTGACTGTGATTCTAATGTCTGCCAGAGTCACTTCTCTAATGGCTCCAGTGAAACAAGGTCAGTGGCAATGGGAATGTGCAGCTGGCGGACAGCCAGTCAACTTTTAATTTCTGTAATCAGCTGAGCCTTTGTGTATACTTCATCCCTTGAAATACATGAGACCTTAAATTAAGAATTATGATAAATAGGCATTATTTGGGCTACACTGACTGCATGCTTTTTCTCTTTTTCTGTAATTAAGGAAATCCTTATAGCTGACGGCTTTGAATATTTCTATTTTAGCACCCCACTTCACACTGGCCAGATACAGTGCAGACAGGCTACCCAGATTTGCATTTGAGTGAGAAAATGTCTTGAAATATAATCAGGATTTTGAAGTATTCTTCATTTCAGTGCATTAGAGGTGTCATGCCTTTGGAGGATGTGGCTGACACTAGTTTTGCCCTTATTCTAGCCATTTTTAATTTTTTTTTTTTTTTTATGAACTGCAACAATAGAGCCACTGCTCTCCTTCGGCTGGGTCAAGGCTTCCCAGCAAGCATCAGTTTGTTTTTCCATTTGTCACTAGTGGGCAGGCAGTGGCTGTGTTTTGTGGTCTGTGGCACAAGTGGGTTGAAGATTCACACATTCCAGAAAAATGTAAGCATAAAAGCTGACTCCAGTTAAGTTGTTTAAATATGATGCATACAATTATTGGAACATTTCGTGTCCCCTTCTGGTCTTTAAATATATCAAGCATGAGAGCATCCTCAGTCTTTGTTCCTCTGAATGCCGTACAGAGCTCCAACTGATTCATGTTACCAGAACTCAGATGAGGCTTTCTGGCTGTTTAATTCTCATCTAACACATCCCTCTGCTCTTCCAGCAATGATTTTAGTTCCTGCCACAGCCTCTCTTTACTTCAGCATGAAATTTACACTGACTTGTGTGCACTGACAGACATGTAAACCTGCCTACACAAATTCAGCTTTGAGTTTATTATTTTATCGGTTTATTATTTTATGTTAATGTAAAATTAGGGTTTATTATTTTGTGTTAATGTAAAGTAGCAAAGTGTAAATTGGAGGATTAGTTGATTCTGGCTTAAGGAAAAAGGCCTTGGAAAACAACTGTTGCTTCTTTAGCACAAACCTCATTAGAAATATTGTGTTTTACAGAGGTTAATATCCTGTGGGCTGCACACCAAGTACACCATAGTTCAGAAGATTACAACTTATTCACAGCCTTGAGACAATCTGTACTGCAGAAATATACCTCCTGGGTAAGTTGCACAAGGTTTGACAAACAAGTTAATATCAAGAAGTTTCAGTAAATGTTAAAACACAGCGTTTATTTCCCTTCAAAGAAAACCTTTTTTTTAAAGTTTCTTGACACTGCAGGCACAGAAGATGAAACTGAAGAATCTGATAATCATAAGTTTTAAAATATATTCACTAATGTTGTACAGCAAACATTAAAACTACAAAAGTTAAAGAAGGCTAATTATATAACACTGCATTTATACTTTCATAACTTTTTGAGTAGAATGGAGAATTTTCATTCGCTTATTCATACACGAGTACAGAAAAAAGAGGAGATTTTAATTTGGCTATTTCAGAAAATGTCTTTCTGGCTAAAAGGAGCAGGGACAGAAATCATCATTAAAATTTGCTTTGGACATGCAAATGGATTTATTTGCCTCTGCTCATTCATGTCATATCAGTACCCTTGTAGGTAAGAGCAGTAGGTTACATAGAGTTATTTCAGATAAAAATAATTTGAAACAGTGATCTGTGTACATATTCAGAATTTATATACAGATTTTTAAAAGTGTATTTCAAAATGCAACCCTAAATATAATATTTTGGGTTTAGTTCTGCACTCAGGGTAGCTGCTGATTTTCTATGTTTTCAGTCAGATTGTAGTTTGTCTGGTTGTGTGTTATTCAAAATGAATAACTTCAAAATTTAATTTTTGGAATTAGAGTTCAAAAGGGATATTAAATGTATTTACATATATAAATACATACATATAATTATATAATTATATATATTCTCCAGTGAGGTATAATGTGGGTGGTGAAGGAAACCCACAGTCCTTTGGCAATCTCTATATCCAGCCTGTGAGCGAATAACTCAAAGTCAAGAGTGTGCTCACCCATGGAAATACAGTATAACTCCATTAACTTCAGTAAAGTGGATTTATGCGTATGTAACTGAACATGGATTTAGTCTCCAGTTCGTAACTGTCTTAAGTGCATGACATTAAGTTAGTTTAAGTGCTACGTTCCAGGGAAACTTTCTTCTGAAAATCATGAAGCAGTACTATTTCTTAGATCTTTTTCTTGATGTCTTCAATATAAATTCTTGTTGTTTATTTATTAAGAAAATAAATCATCTGATGTTGGGAAGATTACCTAGAATTTAAATTACTCTAATGAACAATAGCAGAAGGGATGTCTCTGACAACCCTGCTTCCTCTGTAAATACTGCTATGTTAAAGATTTAACCTTTGCCCATTTACCCATTGGGACCATATGGTGCAAATTCTTAACAAAAACAATAATTCAAAAAAGACAAAGTGTCTGTGTGTACATATGGGTGTGCATATGAGAACTTTGTCTGATGGCATGATTTTGAGGATGATACCTCAGACAACATAAAATACTTGGAAGACCCAGATGTCTGGCCACCTTGGATTCCAAAGACCATCCTCAGGACCACACTGGTATCACTTGGCAAATAATATACATGCATTCAAAATTCATATGCTTTCTGCAAAAGAGAAATGAATCTAGGAATACATGGTACTTTTTGTGCCAGGGTTTTTTCACCAAGTATTTGATATTAGCCAAAACATATGGTTAATGTAAATATTGTTTTGCCTCCTCCCTGAACTTTTCAGACATACACCAGTTTTCTTTCTGCAACGGCTTATTGTGCATGATGACAATTCTTGCTAATTCTTACAGCACTGCTATTTTTTTGGACAGACAGTTTTGTCCAGAACCATGGATGGATCTGCCTTGAAACTGAAGCTCAGTGAAATCCTTATTTAATCTCAGAGTGATCTGATCTTGTTGAATGTGTACTATACTGTTCAATGAGTTTGACATCCAATTTTGTGGAGAGTGTGAGAAATTTATGGTGGATGGCATGGGATTATGTGACTGTTCTGTTGCCAGCTCTGTTGTGTTTTAAGTTAAACATTGTAAGATAAATAAATCAGCATGTTAATCTATGACTGAAAAGATATTAAATGAAAGAGAATAGAAAAACATGCTTGACGATCAGTGGTGTGAGATATACTCTTGATTTTGGAACCGAATGTATAGTGGTTCATGTTGTTTGCACAGATTGTGTTTCTATTTCTTCACTGAAGGGGCCACGGAGAAGCAAATCGGTGAGACTGAGAGATACTGTTGAGGCCCATCTTGTTGGGAAAAGATGTCAAAAAAAAAGTATATTAATTTTTAAGAAGAAGACGGCAAGCTAAAGGAAGATAATACTATATAAATGAGTGTATAAGTGGTGAAACAGTCAAAGTGCAGTTGTGAGACATTTGCACATGCACTTTGAAAAGCTATGATTTGATGCTTTGAGTACCATTCTCAACTTTAGGGTAAGATTTAATTACAAATATTAAATCCATGATAATTTGATCGCTTTAGATTGTACATTTAGATAAAGTGTTGAACTATGCCTTGGTATAAAAGCAGTGGAAACATGTACATACAAGTCTGGAAATGGAATAGGAAGCACAGTTTTCAGTGCAGTCAGTCACTTCTTGTCTACTGAGTTGTCTGCCAGGTCTGGGAACTGTAAAAAATGGGTTGGCTTTTTTGATTGTTTTATTTTACCCTTGCCTTTAACTGCTGCAGAGTCCTCACAGGAGTTCCTGCCCACATGAACTTGCTGTCAGCAGCGGTCCTGCAGCCCCCCAAGCCCCGCAGATCCTCTGCCGCCGCATCGGCAGGTGGCCCCAGAGACCCAGCATGGAAACAGCACTCCTCCTGAACCTCGGGAGTCTCAATGCACTCCCTTTCTGTAGTGCAAGTGGTTATAACCTTTTACTTACAAATAGGAGGGAGAAAGGAAGAGATGCCCACATGGGAGAGTGGGCAATGGACCTTTCTTAGGGGCAGTGCCTTTGGTGTGAGGGCCAGCAACTGCAGTGCAGCAGCCCCAGATGCACATATCTCTGCACCTCCCCTCTGGGTGCTTTTCCCATCAGCTACTGTAGCACTTCCCAATCTCTGCTGCTGAATTCCCAAGTGAGAAAAAATCTGTCAGTGTGAAAAAGTTTTCTGGTAGTTTTGACCAGAAATTCTATTCTGGAGCCAGGAAAGCTTTTCCCCTAGAAATTTGTTAAAGCTGGTACGTTGCCATGAAATCTTTTGATTTGGTGAATTGGCATTTTCAGTAAAGAACTGTTTAATGATTTTTTTTTTTCCTGAGAGTGCTCTTCTTGTTTCAACTGTTTAATGATTTTTTTTTTTTTTTTTCCTGGGAGTGCTCTTCTTGTTTCGGTGGAACCACAAATAGGAAAATCCAAATCTTGGTATGAGAGAAGTTTTCATTTCTCCCTATGAGTTCCACTTCTGTAAATGATCTTTAAAATCCTTTCTGTTCAAAATAAAGCTTACACTGCAAGAAAATGTGAGGCAGTTAGTAAAGCATTCTCCTTTGACAGTTTCAAATTTACCTATAGATTTATATGAAATTTCCTTCATCCCACCACTTAGCAGGGAAATCCTAGTACTTTTGTGTAAAGTAAGTTAGGAAATAAATATGAAGATGATCCTTCTTTCCCCTTTGAGTCATCTGTAAATACCACCAAATTGCTTCTGATACTTTTAGGGAAAAAGCATATAATTTTTTAACCCTGCTTTCAATCCTGTAACCACTTCCATGAATAATCTGAAAACCATCTGGTTTGGTTTTTTGGGCTTTTTAAAATCAATTTCCTCTCCATTCCTTTTTTTTTTTAAAAAAATCCTGCTGTTATCATGCCATTAGACAGAAACTTAGTCCCCCTCTACTACCTTTTAATTCCTTTACTTCTTGGAAAGCAGCTTCCAAGACAGAAACAGAAACACCCCGTAGGTAATTTGTGGGGCAGCTGTGATCCATGAAACCTTTAAATGGAGATTTTGAAATCCCAGCTGTCACATCCCTGCCAGGTGGTACTGCAATGGCTTCAGGGTTTTGTCCTAGAGTTTCAGACATTGTCTGGTGTTGAAGCCAGCAGACTAAGCTGATATTGCAAGGTCCTAGTCCTCCGTTGGTTTGTCACAGTGAGATGTGTTTGTGGTGACTTTCTTGAGAGCATCAGTCACATCGCTGGGGTGGAAGTTTCACAGCTGTTTCACAGCCTCGGTGTGACTTCTATTGGGCAGCCCTGTTGACTAAAACTGAGAGAATACTGGTTTTACATGCTGTGTCCAGACCTACACTAAAGGAATTCCTGGTCCAGGAGGCCTGTCATGGCAATGGGACTGCCTTCTTGGATGTTAAAAGATGTGATTTTTTTTCTGAAAACGACAGTAGTAATTCAGAAATATATTTTTCTAATTTTCCTGTGCTTCACAGAGAGCTCTTGTTGGCCAAACAGATATTCCCTGAGTGCTAAAGAGATTTAAAGTTTGAAGATACCTCTGCTACTGTTTAGTTTAGGAGAAATCTTGTGGAAGGGGTTAACAGCGGGCCTGTTAGCTAAAGGAGCAAGAAGAAGCTGAGAAGAAAGAAGAAGCTGATAAGGACCTCTCTCCAAAGCTGTAACCAAGGAGACCAAGAGAATTAGGAGACTGAAGAAAGATAAGAACTACACAGCTGCATGAAGTATATTTAGAAAGTTAGTTAAGTCACTGTAACTTTTCACCAATAGTGTTATGTTGATTTATTGTATCCAATAGTTAAAGTAGAAGGAGCATAAACAATTAAAAAGTGTATAAAAGGTCAGCCATATTCAATAATAAACTGTTGCCATCTAAAACTGCTTGTAGTCCCTGCTTTGTGTCGTAACCACCTCGACAACGACAAAATCTCTGTATTTTAGAGAGGTATTCACTTTTCGGTGCAGGTGATATAACACAATGTCAGCTAAAAGGGAAAATAGAAAGATAAGATCTTTCAAGATCTTCCTTTTTCTGAAGAAAGCAGACTGACTTGTAATGTATGAAGGTCTTAGAAGTTTTATTCTATTGCTAAGCCAGTTAAGCAATTAATTGTGAATTTCCCAAGTAAGTATTCCCAAGTATTTTTTCATGCTAGCATGTTTTTAGGACTCAACAATATATTGGGACTTTATGGGAGATGCCAAAGTTAAGGTGAGAATTATAATTAACTTGGAAAGCGAAGTCAGCTGTCTTACCCTCATGGTGCTTATGTAGGGAGTTTGGATGGAAAAGCTGTAGTATTATAAATTTGTGCCTTGCTTAATCTGTGATAATTCTTCCCTATATGGCAACCCTTAATGTCAAGGCTGTGTTGCTGTCTGCTCCACACAGCATAAACACCTAATACTAGAATTCATGAATTCTTATGTTGGATTTTCTACTTGCTCAGTTTGGCTTGTGGGAAATCACTTTTGTATCAATTTCTGTCTCATTTGCTATATCACATCAAGTAGTAACATAATAATCACTATCTCTGTACACTATATAATGTCTGCGTTATGGATGTATTAGAAGAAGTAAGTGTATTGTGCAGTGCTTTGAGCTCCTGATAGTACTTCATTATATCATCATGAGTTTAGAATTGTGTATCTAATGTATGTTCTCTTTCTCATTTTTCAGATGTTCAACTTGCCCATGGCTCTTTTCATTCCCCCTTCGGTGTTTGCTGTTCATTTACAGTTTAATCTGCTTTACCAGTTTTGGATACATACAGAGGTAAACCAGGTTTTTAAGCCATACCTAAACAGTTAGCCTGGAGCAGTGTCTTGGAAATCCACTAGCAGCTGATTTATTGTGTAAGAAAAATCTTTGTCTGACTTCTTTAAGGAGAAACATCTGTTCATTTTTATTCCTTTTTCTGAATATATATTGCTAAGTTTATAAGAAGCAATGAGGCCAGTTGGTCCCAATTAAATTTAGAAAAAAAATAGTAACTGTAAGGAATCAAAACTTTTTGCTATTTTAATACTGTATTTTCCTATCTTGCAGCTTATTAAACATTTTTGGCAGATATTGGAACTGATTTCGTTTCTAGGATAATTATTTTAGGGAAAAATACCCAAAAGCTGGTGCTTTTTAAAGATCATTTAGAGTTGCAACTAAATTCAGATATTGTTTCTTTCTTAACGCATGTAATTCTCAGATGAAAAATGCTCTATTAATATCTGATGGCTATTTTTTTATGACTACGCCACTTCATTGCTGTTTTTTGAGTGCATAGACCATATCTAGTTTACATACATAAATGATTAATAACACACTGTAATTAGCAAGATGTTTCCCACACTTCTCAGGTAGTTCAGTGGCCTTTGCCTTCTTCCTTGCATTACAATAGAGGTATTTAAAGGTACTTTATGTTATAAGTCAGTAGCATATTTCTCAGTAGCTCCAGGTGGGCTGCGGGCTATGACACTTACTCCTTTGTTTATTCCACCCAGACAAATGCCTTTTCCTCTCTAATTTCATAATGCAATATATAGGACAGTTCTTTGGGAAAGGAATTTTATTTTCTTGATCTGATATTTTAGGTGATTATGTTGTTTAAATTGAAGATTTTTTTTTCCTGTGTGTTTCATTAAAAAAATAATTCTAAAAATTAAAAATAAGCTATTTATAGTGGACCAATACCAAAATTTGATACTGGCATTTTGTTTCTGTTGGACACATTTCTAAAATTGTTAAGATGTGTTTGATCTAAAACACCACATGAATAGGAAAGGCTTAGATAAAATGTCACATACATCACCAGAAGTGGCATAAACTGAAGCAATACACATTTAAGTTTTTTAAAATATTTTGAAAAAATTCAAGCAGTCTTTGAAACTATACCAAATGAATACTAGGCCTCATATGGTACCAAAGTTTCTTTGACCATGCTTTAGGTTCTACAGATCAGTTTAAATGTACTTTGCCACTAAAAAAATTATTATATGCCTCATCTATGTCTTCTCTGGTGATGGGGCCCTCTCTTCCTTGGCTGAGAGGTTTCTAACATTCTGCTGTGTAGCAGTAACTCAGTTAATCTCAGCACTGGTGCCACAGTGCACCTCTAGAGTTTCTAAAGTGAATTTCAGAGGCTTATGAATTGCCTGCATCCCTCTAAAGTACTAAATCCTTCATAGGGCTTAAAAGGAATTTCCATAGCATATGTGCAATGTGCCAAGTTTAGGCACTAGTCTAAACAAGAATGAATTTCAGTTTCAATGAAAAGATAAGCACTCCTTACTATTAAATTATGGTGCTGGTAGAAAAACAATGGATCTTTTGTATTAATCCAGTTGATCCACTCATAGAACTTTGCTTACAAGGGAAGTTATTCTTAATGTTGATATTGTTGATTTTATAGCACAGCTGAAATCGGTTGAAATATGTTGGAGTCATGCTCTAAGGTCAAAAATTATGTCGAAATAGAAACAGGGTTACACCATGTATTAGCAGATTTCCTGCTCTCAGGGGCAAGGCATTGACAGAAAAAAGTAAGGAAAGGAAGGGAAATGGTATCAGCCATTCAGGCTTATGTTACCCTATATTTTTGGTGAAATTAATATGATGCTTCACCATTATGCTGGGTTTTCTTTGCAACAGCTATCACAATTTAACTGTTTAAAGCTACTGCTGCTCTTTTTTTTTCCTAACAGTCCTTTTCTGGATTTTAATGATCCTAATTTTCTTACACAGATTTTATTAATATGAATATCCTTTCTTCAGGTCTCTGTTTCTGTCAGTTTATTAACATACAGAGATTGTTCAGGGCTGTAGCCTGGGGTTCTATAGCAAACAGCATCCTGTCTCAGTAAGTGCTGCTCGCCCTTGCTCTGAGAGCAGATATTTATCATCCCCCAGCAGCTCTGATGTCCCCTGGGAGCCCATGGAGGGTGCTGTTACATGTCATTAGGGGTCTAGGAGAGGCACACTTCATTATTTCCAGTCTGCCAATATAATGTTATAGTGATGTAATAGTTTGCTTGTAACATGAAGAAGCAATTGATAAATTTTTTCCCCCAGGCTTCTATTGCTTCTCATCAGTAGCAATTCCCTGATACAGTTTGGACCCACATTGACTAGTCAAAGATGTTTGAAAATTGTCACTTCATGACTTTTGATTGCATGTCTTTCTCTTTAAGAAAAATAAAATCTAGTAAGATAGAAGGGGGGAAAAAAAATCTCTCTTCCTTAATAGATGGTGGTTTGTCTGTTTTTTATACAGGCCTGAAGAGAAAAATACATGCAGAATTCTTTTATTTTATAGAAGAAAAAAATGTGTGTATAAGTAACAGGAAAGAATTTAAGTACATGAAAAAGTTTCTGAGGGAAGATGTATTGTTTTGAGAGTAGTTTAAATTGAATTCAGTAATTACAAAAGAATGATCATGCTCTTCTGAAGCTTTCTATGCCATGTTTCAGCCTAGAGCAAAAGCTTATAGCCAAATACAATCCCTGGTATTTTCCTATACTTAAATTTTACATGTGTCCAGTGTTGCTTTAAAAAAATATTAAGAGATGTTTCCTGTGTTATAACTTTGACCTGTCTCATTATTTGTTATGTCAGTGCTTTTCCAGCTTTACTACCAGCAGATCAGACATGGTCTATTTTATTTTAACTCAAGTGACTCGTATATTCTTGTGACTACAGTATCATAAAGATCAAAAGTACACATTTGTTCTACCTCATTTAGACTTCTGTATTTCCTACATGCTTGGTATACATTGGTTTTTGTCATTTTCTATAGAATAATACAGCATTTTAAGGTCTATAAATCTTATATAAAAATTATACTATTTTTCTGGTGCTGGATTCTTTTGCTATTGTTTATTATTAGAATGGACTATTGATACAGCAAAGACATGCCTGAAATTAATAAAGTTGTGTATGCTAGAGTGAAAATACAACTTTGAGACTTACGTCAGGCATTTGTGTTCAACTGGATCAGTGGGCCAAGACCAAAGATGAGATTTGAAGCCGAGTGCCAGGTCTTGCATTTTGATCACAGCCACCCCATGCAGGGCTACAGGCGGGGGAAAGAGTGGCTGGAAAGCAGCCAGGCAGTGAAGAATATGGAGGTACTGGTTGACAGCAGCTGAACATGAGCAAATGTGTGTGCCCACGTGGCCAAGAAGGCCAATAGCATCCTGGCCTGGATCAGCAGTAGTGTGGCCAGAAGGAGCAGGGCAGGGATTGCCCCACTGTACTCAGCATTGGTGAGGCCACATCTTGAATCCTGTGTCCAGTTCTGGGCCCCTCACCACAAGACACTGAGGTTCTGGAGCCTGTCCAGAGAAGGACAATGGAGCTGGTGAAGGGTCTGGTGCACAAGCCTTATGAGAGTGACTGAGGGATCTGGGGGTGTTTAACCTGGAGAAGAAGAGGCTCAGGAGGGCCTTATCCTCTCTACAACTGCCTGAAAAGAAGCTGCAGCTAGGTGGGAGCCGTTTTCTTCTCCAGGGCAACCAGTGGCAGAACCAGGGGAAATGGGCTCAAGCTGTGCTAGAGGAGGTTCAGGTTGGACATAATGAAAAATATATTATTTGAAAGTGTGGTTAAGCATTGGAACAGGCTTCCAGGGAAGTGGTGGAGTCACCATCCCTGGAAGTGTTCAAGAAATGACTGGACATGACAGTGCTATTGTTAAGTGATGTGGTGGTATTTAATCAAAGGTCAGAGTTGATGGTCTAGTAGGTCTTTTCCAATCTTAATGATTCTATGAATATTGCATCATGTACGTGACAATCTGAAATTATCACAGGATTTTGTCAAGGATCCAAAATAAATATCTTAAGTAGCACCAAAGCATTGAAATAAACTCCTAGTAATTTATTTAAATGAGAAATGGAAAAAAAAAAGATAACCCAAGAAGACCCCTGAGGAAAACATTTGACAGTGATGGGTTAACTATTGTACTTGATGATCTTAAAGCTCTTTTCCAATCAAAATGATTCTATGGTTCTGTGATCTCAGTAAATCAAGAACAAAAAATAATTTTTTGTTCTATCTAGTACTGTTCAGGTCAATTGAATGGCTCAGATCTACTCTTAAATAGTCTGGGAGAAATGCTTCTGTGACCAGACAGACCATTCTCATCTAGATCATAAGAGAAGTAAAAGAAAAATACTTTAGTCAAAGGACACTAAAAAACTAATTTTTCAAAAGCCACAGAGTATTTCAGGACTGTTAGTGACAGACAGAAATACTCCATTTCAGTTTATTTTTGCAGGTGATTCAGAAGGTCTATGGCTTATATTAAACTATATCCTTCCATTATGCATTTATTACAACCAATAAGTTAGGTGTGTTTATAACCTGATAGACACCTGTGAAAAACAGAAATTAGTTTCTGTTGGTTTAGCTGTAATTTTTATGAGATGTCAAACTGTATTTAAAAAGTATCGACTGATCCAGTCCCTGATGGTAGTAATTGCAGCAGCAGATTATTCCTTGCCTATTTGATCTTTGACATGTACCAGTTGCTGTTTAATTTTCTAATTTAAGGAAAGAATATGATCTGCCCTTTAGCATGCTCACAGAAGTCAGGTTTTTTAAGGCATCTCTTTTCACCTTGTTTAAGTCTTTCTACCTCATCCAACTCTGGGAGGAGAAAAAGGTGAGCCACAACTATTAACCACAAGTAACATGGGTGAAAACAGGTGAGGAATCGGAATAATTTTAGCAATACCTCATGCAGACTGGAAAGAGAGGCATAAAATTGCTACAGATATAG